CTGCTTTGTAAATACCTCTGGTCCGGACAGCTCCTGAAAATATACACTGTCTACACAACTACACCTGGTCTGGAAAACATCTGAAAATATACACAAAGTCTCTGCTCTGCATACTCTTGATCCGGATCACATCTGAAAATACAAAGTCCTGAAAGTATATGCCAACTGGATTGCATCTGCAGACCTCGGAATCTCTGAAAGAACAGCTTGATTCATCTGCAGGGTTTACCTGAGAGCAACAACAATCGAGAACACACCTGAAAATATACAAAGTCTGTGCAACTCAGCAAAATCTGGATCACCTCTGAAAATAAACCAACTCCAGTTCACATCTGAAAATATACAAAGTGCTGAAAACAAATAAAATCCCTAAAATAAATCAAAGTTCCAAACCAAAGTCAATTGAAATAAGTTGAAGTTAAATTCCACTAACAATTGTTATCCAAAATATATCTCCATAGAAGTATTTCTATTCCAAAGTAAGATAATTTCAAAGTACCTGCGATCAAATCTCTTGATTGAAATCACTTGAATTTGAAAGAACTCAATTCCACAATTCTAAAAGTATTGACTCGTTCCTCAAACGTATGTACTGAACCTGAAAGAAAGACTGAGCTAAGCTCACTGCTTCCCGCCTTATATAGTCCCTGTAACAAAATAGTTCGCCTTCCGCGGTAGGAAAATATCACTCCGCCGGTCATCCAAGTGTTTTGGGCTAAAAACATATAATTTTACAGTGGCGGGGATAGATTGGAACGATAAATAACTCTAGAATGTTTTTATAAAAGATAGGAGCTTGAATAATGTCGATAAACTGCAAAATATGAGCAAAATTACCAACCGGAAGTTAAATTCGAAACGTTTTCAAGTCGAAATCTGACGAAGCAATTCCCTTTAATTTCTAACAAATGATAAAGATTTGGACCTTGAAAGGTATCTAATTCAACACTCTACACCTCTAACTTGGTCTAGGACGGCTAAAAGTGAAGTAACTTAGCTTATGTGTTGAGAAATCGAAGGGTGAAGATATAAATTGAACTCGTTCCTTATATGGGCAAATCTAATATGGCAGCCTCCATTACGTCGCCAAAATTAACTCCAATTTATGAAAAATGAATAAAATTTCTGTAAAGCCTAACAATCTACTGTAATTATCGTCTAAAGGGACAATATGTGAAATCTGGCAGGTAAGTACCACTCAATCAATCACACATAGGGATGAACTGGTTTAGCATCGAATGCCTGACTGGAAATTTCGTTACAATATTAAACACCCCTGGTCAAGGCTATAGACTATAATGAAAACTCATACAGACTGGTTAATAGACATTTAGCGAAATAAGAAGCAATTTACAAATTAGGTTTGTCATGTCTGTGTGTGGTTGTGTGTGCACATACACATATACTGCTTGGATATAACGAAAGAAACGGACACGAAACTGGATTGAAAGAAGATACAAAAAATTACCGAATTATTTGGAAGAATTGATGACGTATAGTTCATGTCTTGTGTTTGTTTATTAACTTACAATATTAATATGTTTGACAAGACTTTTGCCTCTTTGGAGCTATGTAAATCAAATCCTGTGAAAGTATTCATTCCAAACTATGATCGTGTTTACCCCCACCCCCATCTAATGTCTCTTAATTACAATTATTTTGCAAATGAAATAACCCCAAACGTTGATATGTCAACATAACTTTGCAGAACTGTGCGAAACGAAAGGTGGAACATATCAGATTAAATATTATATTCTGGAACTGCACAAAAGGCAATAGTCGAAGAACTAAACAAAACAATTCCTACAACAGATAAAGCTGTTTTAGAAATCTGCTTTATGGTTCGCTTCTTGCCCCCATTGTCCCTGTTTGAGATACATGATACAAGGAAAAGAGACCTTAGTAGGATAGTAATACGATATGGATGTCCATATCAGCCTCTGAGATAGATAAAACTATTTTCAAATCATTAAAAACCCAAAATTGATATCATATTTCATATTCTTAACATTAATCATCTTTTCAACATTTAACGCTTGCACTAATGCACTGATATTTGAGTGTACTATGGGGGTTTTGTTGACAAATCGCGATTTGAATTATAAATTATTTTCGCCAAGGTGCTTGCACACTCATGTTTTATTCTGTGAACGTTTGTAAACTATTTGTATAGTTCAATGCGTTTCTAAATCCCGCTATTTCATATCATAAAGTCTGTACGTAATGTTGTTAGTAATTTATTTCGTCATTTATTTTAAAGGTCTATATGTGTCTAAGAGACGACAATAGTACAATAATGTCATTTCTAAGGGCAATATAGTGAAATATTGAAGGCCCAAGGTCCAATATTATTTTTATTTATTTTTTATCTTTCAATCTATCTTTATTTCTTTTTAAAATATGTTTTACAGTACAAATCTACATAATTGCATTAAAATGATGCATTTTAATTTCATGTGTATCTTTACAATAGTTGACAAATATGATATACCACATTTCATTAAGCCATTCATTTAAATGTTTGTAGTCAATGTTTCGTGTTTTATATCCAAAAATCAATGTTTTAATATCTGTTAAATCTATTGTGATTTTAAAATGATTAAAAATGTACTCTTCTAATTGTTTTAGCACTCTGTTTACTCTTTTGCAATCTAAGAATAAGTGTTTAAAATTTTCAACTACGTTACATAAATCACAGTTTTCAGTTTGACTTATTTGCCATCTTTTAAGTAAGAACTTACATGGTAAAATGTTATGAAGCAATTTATATTTACAATTTGCAGATTTTTTGTTCTGACACTTATACAAGAAAACCCATACACACTTGAAAAGTTCAGTATAATCTTGAAGCTTCAGGTCCAATATTTCACTTTATTATGCACCTCATTAAAATACTCAAATCTGATTGGTTCTTAGTTGCTTGTAATTTGGCAATACTCTGCTCTTTTCTGAAAACTGCCGGATATTTTTTCAATATCTGACCCTTTCGAGAAAAAGGGTCGGATATTTTTTTCAATGTTTTTGCAACATTCCCACTTCAGAGTTTTATTTCTTAATAACTGGAGTACTACTTAAAGCTTATATCTGAAACTGGCGGAAAATAGAAGAAAAATGCACTTAATCAATCACAATTACCCTTATCATTCAAAAGTTACATATAATTCTGCAAGAACGTCTCGAATAAATAAAAATTAAATTCCCGGTTCAAATGTTTTCGTCCAGTGTAGCGAATAAACTGGCCGGAAGTCCGGTCTGAGTTTTGAAAGAAAAAATAAATAAATGTCAAAATAATGTCAACTAAACTGTAAGTACTCCACTTTCATTGGGAGGTGCATAATAAAACAAATACTGGATGATCCGGAGCTGGATATGGCCAGAATACCTATCCTCGAAAAAATATTTGGCTCGGCTGCCGCCTCGCCCAATATTTTTTCTCGAATAGGTATTCTGCCATATCCAGCTCCGGATCATCCAGTATTTGTTTACTATTGCTCGCAGAAATGACGTTATTAGTATTATTACCACCGTTAACGACCAGGACTGAAACAGCAAGAAAACCTTACGTACCGTAAAAAAAAAACCGTACGATATCTAATTTCCCGGGGAAAACTGCCGGTCCAGAATATATTCTAGACCGGTCCACATGGACCACCACTATGACTTCATAGTTTCTCAGGTCGATATAGTAAAATGAATGCCTTCTAAACTAGCACTAAAACCTCTAGAACTGGTCCGGCAAGGTGGTAATAATAAACATTACTAGTATTCCGTGAACGTAATTGTATGTTTTTTGTTATGCCTGGGTCACATTTGCTGCGATTCATCGGCCAGCGCCGAGCCTATTGAGTATTTTGTTCCAAACTGAATACAATTTTGAACAAAACACTCAATCGGCCGGGCTCAGGCCGATGTATCGGGGCAAATATGACCCAGGCAACACTGAAAGTGCAGTTTTTCCTAACCTTTTTACTGTTTACAGTATTTTACTAATCACAATAGGTGAAAATTCAACTTAAATGCGTTATGTGTTTTTAACTTTTTTGTAGACTATGGGGTCAAAAGCCCGGGTCAAAAGTTATATTTTGACGGCTAAATATAGTCTGGTTTTATTTCATTCAAATATCAGATATTGATTTTGAACTAATGATATTATTAAGGGAGGATGTAACAAATATACAATGTATCTAGAACGATATATTGAACTTTTTTCTAAATGTTGATATCCAAAAAACATAGTTTTGGCTAATGAACACATACCGGTGACATAATAACGAATATACACATTGTAACACAGATAAGAGAATCAGGGGAAATTACAATCCATTTGATCAAATTTTAAGATTTAATCTCCAGCTGTGGTGCAATCAAAGTGTTGATACACATAATTAGCAATCAGAAAGATTAAAGTTTTCAATTGCTTTTATTGTAACATCTTATTTCAAAAGAATGGATATTGAGTACATGGTCGTATGGATGTATTCATATTTATATCAAGCATTCACATTATAGCTTAAAGTGTATTATAATTCCTTCAATAAATGCAACATATTTACCATTTTAGATTTCATATTGGACTTTCTGCATAATGATAAAATGTTGATGATATATCGACGCGAGCACCTTTTCACGTGGTATGGGGAGGGGACAAAATCGAAGGTATTCCATAGATGACGCACTCTCAGTCATTTTGCAACATTTAATAGTACATATTTAGTACAGTCAAACCTACATTTAGGCACTGGTTACCACTCTGTATTTTCAGGGATTTTACGAGAAAACCCTACGAGAAAAGCCGAGATTTACCACAGTTGTGGTTAAGTGGTTTTCTTTTACGCATGATATACTACTTATGTCACCAGCACAAGCGGTGGCATACTGTTACAGACAATTCGCATGTTAATGCCTCGTTATAATGGCGAAGTCGTTGGAAAGTTCATTACAAAGCCTCTAGACAGGAGGGGTCCCTTGTCATCTTGTACTTTGTCGATTTGCTGTTGTAGGGGCTGATTTACCTCATCACTGCCGCATACCCGTGAATGCAACTGTTGATGAATCAATTCCGACAATTGTTAACGCGCGTGGAGAAGAGGAGCTATCCCAATGTACAATGTACGAAAATGTATACGCAAATTCAACGGGGATTGTAACGAAACGGATCATACCTTGTAAAAATGGTTGGACGTTCTACAAAGAGACGGACCTTACGCATACGATAGGCATGGAGGTACTTATACTTTATATCCTTGTTGGAAAGACCGAGACATGCGAATGATTGGAAACATTTTGTGAATTTAGCTCAAAAGTTTGATTTTGACGGTACCACGCGGTCCTAACTCACCGGGGCGTATCGAAACCAAAACGCCCCGCAAAACCGTTATTTTGAATTTCAAATCTACCCTGTCTTTGGAAAATCAATGATTGTGAGTATCACACTACACCATTTTTCTTCAAACTTGTTCCATTAAAACCTTCAAAGAAATACCTTTCAGTCGAGACATTGCCTTTGTATACAAAGTCCCTCGTTTTAGCGGAGTTTTGGTCCCCAGATGTGAGAAGTTGCTAATCCTCAGAGATTTCAACCACAATCCTTGATATCTCGTCAGTTCTTCTATCACTCTCCCCCATATTCTGCGCAAGGACTCCCATTACAACCCGCCATCGCTGCATCAACATATTTATTACATGAAACGCAGCAATTTTGAAAAGTCCTACGCAACTGTTTGAAATTGACCAAAACGCCCCGTTGTCTTCCAAAAGGCCCCGCAGAGTCTATGTGACTACAAACGTGTATCTAGTTAAGGTGCATAGATCCAACGGGGCGTTTTGGAAGAGAACGGGGCGTTTTGATCAATTTCGAACAGATGCGTAGGACTTTTAGAAATTGGTGCGTTTAATGTAATAAATATGTTGATGCAGAGATGGAGGGTTGTAATGGGAGTCCTTGTGCAAAATATAGGGGAGAATAATAAAAGAACTGGCTATATATCGAGGCTTTTGGTTGAAATCTCTGAAGATTTGCAACTTCTCACATCTGGGGACCAAAACGCCGCTAAAACGAGTCACTCTGTACACAAAAGCATGAATGTAACTTTAATTCTTTGGAATATAATATATTCTAATTAAAATTATACATCATTTTAAAGCTGCTTTCATAAAGTTTTCAAATCAAGTACACTTCTTTCACAATTCTTGCGCGTTCTTTTTTGAAAAATAGTTTTTTACCCCAAAATCTGCCAAATATCCGCTGTCGACACGTTACATTTTGAATAATTTTTCGTCTTTAAACGCACATAACTCAAACAATATTTGACTATTATTCCATAGTTAGCATGATATTCATAGGATAACATGTGGAAATAAAAACGGTATTTTTGTAATCAGTGGTAAAATATGATATTTTTGACAAATTTTCACTTAACCATAGCATACGGTTTTTTAGCCATGACATACGACGTCGTATGCTATGGTTTATGGATTTTTGCTACTTCAGACTCAAAACGAGGCTTAGTGTAAAGATCGCCGGATCGTTTGGAAAATTCGAAATAAATCACTTAATTTCCGACGATTCTGATGATGACTTTAACTATGGAATAAAAAGAACATCCTATGATTTACTCGTGATATGATTTTAATCCACTCATGGATATTGATATCTGCACTCTCTCGCTACGCTCGCTCGTGCAGATATCATATCCATTCGTGGATAAAAATCATATCACTCATAAATCATAGGATATCCTCTATTTATACTTTATTTTCGTCATGATAAAGGTAGATGGAAGTGTTATTTCAAAGGATGAATTCTAGTAAGCGTCCCATATTGTGACGCCATATAGTTTGAAAAATAGATTCTGTCGACAGCGACCTTTTTTGCTCATTTTTTGTTACCTTCAACTTTTCAGGTGTACATTAAACAAAAAATACGAGACCAATTTTTAATATACCATACATGATTATTTTGCTCATTAATTTATGATTTTGTTCACAAACGTATGTGTTGTATGTGGAAAAGTGGAGGACGAAAGGTTTTCAAAATTCATTAAATAGGGCGAATTTACGCCTTTCACCTATTTTCAAACACAGCAACACATATATTTATTTCACCTAAAATATCAATTGATTCGTGTTTTTTATGATGCTCCTAACCCATTGTTAATACATATTCGATATCAGAGTTATTCGCCTTAAATATTTTGAGATATAGAGGCAAATGTGGAGAACGAAAGGATTTCCATATGTGTACATTTTTCTCAAAAAACGTCACATTCTGTGATGTTAAAAAGTGAAAATGTGTAACAATACGTGCGCGAACTTTTTGCAACGTGTCAATTGACATATTGCCATTGCGGAAAACACTTTGTTTATGTTGATTTGAACAAAAACAAAAGCGTGTATATTTCAGTGGAACCTTGTCTGCAAAGATGCCCCCTTGGTTGGTACGGCTCAAACAATCTTCACAGCGGGTGTTCTCGTTGGGGCACTCTTCTTCACTTCTATGGCGGACAACATCGGGAGAAAGCCAATATTTCTGTGCTGCCAGCTCCTCATGGCAGTCTGTGGCTTAATTATCGCATTTCAGCCGAGTTATATCGTATTTGTTGTTCTTAGATGTTTCATTGGAATGGGGCAGCAGGTTTGTTGCTGATATATGTTTGTTACTTTAAAGTCACCTCAAGGAGGATTGGCTCCAGGGGACGCAACTCGATACTCGACCTTGACCTTAATCGATATCAACATTTAAAATGTCCTTAATGTCGTTATTTTCTGACATTATAACTGACTATTTTATAATCTCCGATCCTAAAGATTTGAACTAACTAATATCTTGATCACTTCTTTTTTGTTTGGAAATAAGACAGAAACTCGCGATTCAAATTTTGAAATTAAAAAATGGCGCCCAGTTGATTTCGAATTTGGTAATCACGACATCCTTCAAGATCGGATTCATTGTTGGAAATTATCGAGATAGCATTCTGGGATTCAATCCTCTTTAAGTCACCTTATACATTCCCCTCCATAAGATTGTCAATCGGAAGATTTCATTGGGTTACATTTCAAAACCTATAAAATGTTGAATCTTGATTTTGTTCCTTAATTACAATAATCTGAAAAACTATGACTTTGATTAGATATTTTAAATCGCCAAAAATGGTGAACAGCCTTTGATAAGTGATCCAAACAGGGACTTCCGGTTTCCAAACTTATCGAGGGGAGTGTACATGGTTTTAATTGCTAACACATTTTATTGATAATGGCAATCATTGATAAGTCACCTTGCTAACACATGGTAGTCATTGATAAGTCACTTTTATTTATGGTAGTCATTGATATGTCACCTTGCTAGCACATGGTAGTAATTGATAAGTCACCTTACTAACAAATGGTAGTCATTGATATGTCACCTTGCTAGAACATGGTAGTAATTGATAAGTCACCTTACTAACAAATGGTAGTCATTGATAAGTCACTTTTATTTATGGTAGTCATTGATATGTCACCTTGCTAGCACATGGTAGTAATTGATAAGTCACCTTACTAACAAATGGTAGTCATTGATAAGTCACCTTTATATGTGGTAGTCATTGATATGTCACCTTGCTAGAACATGGTGGTAATTGATAAGTCACCTTACCAACAAATGATAGTCTTTGAAGAGTCATCTTGTCAACATAGGTACAGTGCTGTAATCATATACGTGCCGTCATTATTTTTGGTAGTACTTCATGAATTTAGGGCCCGAATGGGCTCATGATAATGTTTTCAGAAAATTTCTTATTATCCGTTTCACGTGATCAATTTTGTATGCTTTTTTCTATGCATAGGGAGCAGATCTAGTGGGCGTGATTTTAGCAGCTGAACTGTTTGCATTAAAACAACGAACGCTGATTATGCCGGCCATGGCTTGTTTCTGGGGAATGGGTGTAATCAGCACTAGTCTTATTGGTTTCTTGTTCAGAAATTGGCGACATGCTCAGATCTTCATATCTGGCGTATCTCTCCTCTCCATTCCCCTCATATGGTGAGTTGAACTGACATGTTCCTGTTTTTGTTAATATGTGTGTGTTTAAGGCGAAGCTAAATGAAATGAAAAGTACAAAAAATGACTGCCATTTTTTTGATAAAGACACATGTTATTAAAATCTGTTTACCTTGTATATGAATTGTATATCTTGACTAATGGAACATGTCAAAGTTAACATCACACACACTGGGCGAAGTGACCAAATATAAACAATTTTAATCACAAATAATCAGTGAATAAATGATTATTATCTGGTTAAAACCTATTATCGAGACTATTATTGCTGGTTATCGCTGATTATCGAGACTAATTAATCAAAAATAACCAGTGTTTTCACTGGTTATTACAATAATCAATTCTTATTAATGTGTAGCCAATGGCAAAAATTCCAACTGATTATTATGTCAAGTGATTATTCCCCCAACTGATTATCGCTTTGTTTTCATTAGCAATTAAGAACCGTCTGCCATTTATGCGTCTAGCGCTTCCAATTATTATCCGTTGAATAAACAAACTATAGCTTTTGTCCAGCTAAAGAATATGAGTTTTTGCGAAATTGAATTTTTCATTCAAATATCTTTTTTTTAATTCATTATCAACCAAACAAAAAATAAAAGAAACACATTTTTAGAATTTCATTTAATGTTAGATTTTATTTAGCTGTCCAACTTCAATTACCAGGATTCGAGATTTTTCATTAGCAATTATGATGCAGCAGATTTCTGCAATTCAATCAATAGTTTATACTAATTAGTAGTAATTAAAGAATATCACCAAGAAAATATTTTATCATCGTGTAGAAAGTCCAATCCAAAATTTGGTAAATGTGTTGCATTTATAGAAGCAATAACGTTGTGATACCACTGTAAAACTATAATTAAAATGTTTGATATGAAATTCGATTGTCGGGAATAAGAAATACACATCAATACTTTTACATAATATCAAGTGTATTGAAATAAGATGTTATAACAAAGGCAATTGAAAAACTTCAATCTCAGTGAAACTAGTAGTGAAACTCCCTAAATCTGTTAAAGGGAAGCCTTCATTCAAGCACTGAAAATTAAGTTTAAGAGGAAGAATTCAGTATCCCGTGTGTTCACTACCCCCTCCCATCCCAAATCATTTAACTACATGTATGCTCCAATGTGTTTCATTTCTGTGTTTAATAAATGCAATCAATATGATAGTTCTATATTACTCATTATTACCGTAGAGCAAATGTGCGCAAGGTTAAATTTTAATCTTATTGAATTATGTTAATTAGTTGCTTGGATGGTAGATTGTTTGTTTGCTTGTTTATTAGCACGATTGATTGCTTGATTGGCCGTTTACTTGCTAACATTCTTTCTTTGTTGCTTTGCTGCTTCCTTGGTTTCTTGCATTAGAGTTTAATTAGCTACTTGCTTGGTTGGTTTGTCTGTTGTTTGCTTGCTTTATTTGTAAGTTGCATGGTTTGCTTTTTTACTTGCTTAGTTTCCTGCTTGCTTGGATGGTCGTTTGCTTGGTTGCTTGGTTGGTTACTTGCGTGGTTGGTTGACGAGTTATTGATTTGAAACTTTCTAAATATCCATAGGCGTAGCCAAGGAGGAGGGGGGGGAGGTCCGAAAACCAATAAAGATTAAAAACCCTGAGAAAGAGGACTCAAAGAGCTTTTAAATGCTTTTTATTTGAAGCTTCTAGCTCACTTTGGAAGGAACTTGCATCCAGTTTTTGTAAAATTCAATATAAAAGTCATTTTTGGCTTGTTAACGTCATAATCGCACCCCCTTGTTTATGTCACAATCACCCCCCCCCCCGACTGAAAACCGAAATATTTTTGGCAATCACACTCCCCCCTGACTGAAAGTAGGCTACGCCCCTGATATCTGTTATTGTGTTATAACAATAAACTATATTTATATTGTGAGCATTTATGGGTTTTGATAACACTAGGCTTTATACGTGTATAAATAATCAAATTTAATATTGTATCATGTTGGCTAAATCGTTTCAAGTGAAGAATTAAGAACTGTAATCGGGGTTTGCTTAGTTTGAGCCAGGGAACAAAATGTAATCAGACGGACGGATTAATTAATATTTGTTTTGATAAATGAGTATTATAGCTTATAGGCAGTATCATGGGAACCAAGTAATCGTGTATAGGATTATTTTTTGTTTACTTCAGAATTGAGTGAACCATCTGTAGTTTTAAAAACAAGGATCAATAAATACATCTGATCAAGATCAAATATTAGAAATCTATTTTTGACTGGACAAATTCTTGTTCTCGAATGTCAAACAGAACCTTCATTATCTTTATTCATTTTGGAACTTTGATTTGAATTATTTCAATCAAATGTGTGTTGATGCTCCGAGCTAATACTTTTAATTGAAAAAATGTTGCAATAGGGGGGGGGGGTGCATTATTGTCTTTATTACATTACTTTTGTACATTATTACATATACAGTAAACGCGACCCGATCGGGGAGGGGATTCGGGTTGTGCACAGTGCACAATTTGTTATCTCTTTATGCATGTTTTATTGCCAAATTAATATAAAAACAAGCTGGAGAAACATAAGTATTTATTTTGTATTTTGTTACCACACGTCAAAAGGTGCATTTGAAGTTCAGAAAATGTAAGAAGACTTGGCTAGACATCATGTACTTATATATTTATATGTTACGTATTTATTTTGTATTCAATTCGAATTCTGTTCACTCGCACTCCTTGAACCACCCCCACCCCTTGGCTACGGGTATAAGTACTTTCGGCACACAGAAAGAATAACATTAGACTTCTGCAATGCAACTACATGTAATAAGAGAGACCTAAAATGAAAATAATGTAATGTAAGAATATACAATTGTAGCCCATCACAAAGTTCATTTATTTCATAAAAGCGTCAAGGGACAATGCCTCTAAACACTAAGATAAACAAATTAACTTCTGTAGAAACATCCTGTTGTGGAAAAGACAAATGGCTTTTCATAACGGATTAAAATAGCCAGTCTGTCTAATTGTATAATATATTAGATACATTTTAAATTCCTTTATACTTCTTATCACAGACAGGTTGATCATTTTATTTAGACAAGAGATTGTATTCCAGCAGTGTCATTTGTAATTAGCCCTTTGAAGTTTAATCAATCACGATAATCAGTTGGTCGGTTATTCAGTAAAGAAAAAAGTGATTATCGCCAGGCCATGCCTGTTGCCATTGTATCTAGCCTTTAAAAGTTATAATTAGGTCAGGATCAGACTGTGTCTGGTTATTAATGATTATTCTAAAAAATTAATCGCTGATTATTATGTGTTAATTCCAACCTGTTTGTCTAGTGACATAAACGCATTTTTCGAAACTATGAATTGGAGGTGCATAGATCCCCAAAGCGCGAAAAGTGAAGAGTGCGAAGTGAGGCTAATTTTTGAAAGTTTCAAGGAGTAGCCTTGCAACAGTCACACATTTGCAAGAGTCTAAAATTTCTACAAATCATCTTACCTTTCCCAGGAACAACGAAGGAGCATGAAATGTGCACTTCTTGCATTGTTAGAGTATAATAAAGCTCAAACCATTGTAAATTCTAAATATTTCATGTTCACCATTTTGTTTGCCGGAACTACTTCTAGACTTCCTGATTAATCCTCATAAAAGTTTTGTGACTACACCAAGTGGCATGGATTATCACTTGTATATTTATCGATTACAGTATAATTATCATGATAGATACATGATAGAGGCTTTATGAATGATAAACAATGGATACATGAAGGAGGAAAACTCTGGACTAAAAAGTAGTTCCAGGAAACAAAATGGTGGATATGAAATATTTAGAATTCACAATGGTTTGAGCTTTATTATACTCTAACAATGCAAGAAATACACATTTTCATGCTCCTTTGTTGTTCCTTGGTAAGGTAAGATTATATCTGGAAATTTTGAATTCTTGCAAATGTGTGACTGTTGCAAGGCTACTCCTTGAAACTTTCAAAAAATAGCCTCACTTCACACTCTTCATGCTAGCTTTGGGGAGCCATGCACCTCCAATTCATAGTTATGAAAAATGCGTTTAAATGTAAGGTTTTCTTTTATGTGTCTCTTTAGTCAGGAAATGCATTCACATACAAGAAAAACAGTATACAAAATCTTCTGACTTTATCAAAAAATATGGCTCCCATGTTTTTGTACTTTTGATTAACTTAAATGTCACCTTAACTTTGGCAATAACTCAGATGCGAGTAGGTACTTTTTAGATAGCAAGTTCCTTTTAACTTAAATATTTATATGTTTTAGTGGTTCAATTTTCATATCACCAATATGTATCTAATAGTTTTGCAAATTAAAATATTTCCTGTAAAAGAAAATATTACCTGTCCAATACAAGAAAAGATATTTCGCTTTTTGTGATTTTATAACATTGGGTCTGTGTGGAATCTCCCCGAACTAAAAGTCACATTTTCAAAAAAATTAAATTTTCAAAGTTGATAAACAATTTTCGACGATTTGAGACGACTCCTAAATAACATAGAATAGATGAGAATTTGCTCCTGTACTTACCAAGGACTATCGTAATAAAAACCGAACCTCAAGGATATGAACATAGACTGAACATTTATAGAAAGTTATAGTGAATAAAATTTAAAACTTAGTGAAAAAATTGATCAAGAAAAAACTCATAACTGTTTTACATAAAATTTTGGCCTACTTTGATTGCAACGAACATAAGTGGAGTTCACAAACTAGGACAGCTATTGTACAAAGTTAAAACAAATTCAGAATTACAAACGAGCGACCTGAACTATATGTGGCTAGTCGATCTATGTGGATGCAGTCAGGCACATGTAATGTTTCATGAGTGCCCGCCTCTGCACTTTTCAATGGAAGAATTTTGCACCTCTGTTTAAATAATCTATATTTACTCATCTGTGTATATCATACTTCATTGATTTACAAAACCAAAGCTACGCTATAAACACACATTCTCTGATATTTTTACGGAGAATAGATAACTCAAACGAGTTCACTCGACCAGATTTATCATCTCGCTCATAGCTGTGATAAGGTATGTATAATGCCATAGGTTTACCTTATAATGGGGAATAAAAAATTCAATTAATATAATTATTTCACGTACACAAATATGTCTGTGTGAAGTAAAACAAAAATACAATGCGTTTTATAATATTTTTGGGGTTATGGTATGAAATATCCGCTTTAAAAAGCAATTTAATTATGATGTATCATGTGGATTAGTAGCCGTTCTTATTGGATTCAATGAACAGACTGGCTAGGTTTCAATTGAATCATTTTGAATGTGTGTATTTTTAATATTTTAATCCACAGTGTCTAAAAACAATAATAATGCTATATTGGTAATTAGAAAGATTCCACTTACCACGATTTCAAAAAATTGTAAATAGATAATATTATTCTTGAATTTGGGTCATTTGTTTTAAGGAATCTGTAGGCTCGTTCAGCTGAGCTGACAAAATCATCAAGATTTACGGATGGTCCATTTGTTGTATGCTCATTGTCACTTCCAAGGAATGTTAATGGCTCTGAAACTTGTAGTCTTGCCCAAGTCAGTATTTATTTACTTATCTGATCTTGAATTATTACCACCTTGTACAATCCAATGCATCATCGCTGATATTATCGGGACTCTGTTGTCGAAGTCGGTGAAAGTAAAAAAGGTCTACTATGCACAATGGTTTTGTTGTCCAATAAATGGACTTGGGAAGGATGAAGATGAAGGAAGTCGAGTTGGCACAGTTATTGTATCGTGAATTAGGAGTGAATGGTCAAAATGGAGAGATTGCAGGTGTGCAAATTCTATGGGCTGACGGACGTAACATAGCCATTCTATATGCTGATGATTTGAAAGCGAAAGGTAAAATACTTGCCATTGGTCAACTAAATATTCCTGGGACTCTTACACAAATTGAAAGTTACACACGTGAAGCTCTTACACCCACCCCGAAAGGGTTTCGATTCATGGCATACCCCTCCACATATCAAACACAGAAGTTGAAGGTTGGATTTCTGAAAGAGTTAACATCACCTCTCCTGTACAATATGCAATGAAGGGTACAGATAAAATGAAGATAAATACTGGAAACCGATTCTGTTATGGCCACGTAAAGGATGGTGTAACATTTCCAAGATATAACAAACTGCCGCTTTACAACCCATTTGACACTGATTCATTATTTGACTTCGAGGTTACTGTATACATCAATTCGCAGCCATTAAATTGTGCATGTTGCCTTGAACTGGACCACATGACCAGAGAGTGTCCAGGCAGAAAACCACAGTGTAGAAAATGCGGAGGCATAGGGCATATAGCGCGCCGGTGTACGGAACGGGAGCAGAAAGAAGATGATACATCAGAGAATAGATCAGGTAGATGAAGACCCGATACCTGATGAAGATAATGACTCTAAACCTGAGGAAATTGATAGTGATGAAGTTGAAGAAGAAGATCAAGAACAGACAGATCCAGAAAAAGTCTCCCCCTTATTTGACAAAAGTGTTAAGGATAAGAAGACAAAAGTCATGAGCAATGATAAGTTCGACAAAAGAGCAAAATAAAACACAAAAACGCTACTGGTAAAAGACACAAACAAGAAGCGACCCCCACATTTAACACTACCTAGTTTGGAGAAAAGTGGAAAGCAAGGGAAAATATCCTAAATCTTTTGTTTAATATATGAGAATATCTTCCATTAATGTATAAGAACAAAAGCGAGAGAACGTCGTAAATTATTTGACTGGATTAGAAAGAAAAAATAACTGTATGTTTTCTACAAGAAACACATATAGTTAAGGAAGATATTGCCATATGGAAAACACAATGGGGGTCAGAGCTGTATGCTCTGCCTCATAAATCCTCAAGTAGAGGTTAGATTATTCTTATAGATAAATTTGAAAGAGATATAACAGATATAATTGAAGTGAATGTGAAAAATAAAGATGATAGGGTACAGATATTGAAAATATGCAAAGAGGAAAAAAATAATGTTAGCGAATATATATGCTCCAAATAAAGATGGAGAAAAATTATTATTTTTTAATGAACCTAAAACTATTTTAAAAGATACATATGAAGTGGGCTATGAGATAATTATGGCGGGAGATATGAATACAGTTTATGACAATAACTTAGATATTATAGCTGGTAAGGGACATAATGAAGCAGTAGTTAATAGATTGAGAAGCATTGTGCAAATGGTACGCCTTAACATAAATGGGTGCAAAAAGAATATACATGGTGTAAATGCAAACCTCAATTTATAGCCCGTAGGCTATATTTTCTTAACTCAAGGGATAGCAACAAAAGTAGTTAACTCAGATATTTGGCCATGCATTAAATCTGATCATAGAGCAGTGATGATAGACGTTGAATTCTGATGAGAAACGGGATCCAGGCTACTGGAAATTAAACAGATAAAGATTATGTTAACCCAATAAATGAAACAATTGCTCAATGTACCCAACAGTATAAAGATAAAGTAAATCTACAAGTACTATGGGATTTATGTAAATGTCAGATAAAACAAAATCTATGATTTATTCGAAACAAAATAGTGTAAAAAAGAAAGGCAAATTTGGGGAACTGGAGTACAAATTAAAAACAGCTCAAAGTTATGCCTCTATAAATCCAAATGAAAACAACTGGGATTTGGTTATTAAACTTCAAAAAGAGAAGTAAATTCTTGAGGAAAAAATGGCATGTGGTGCAATTATAAGACCTAAGTAGAAATGGGTTGAAAATGGTGAAAAAAACACAACATTCTTTTTATCCCTGGAAAACAGAATGCTAAACAGAAAACTATCGAGTTACTTGAAGATGAACAAGGGGTTAAAACTAATGGCTTAGATGAAGAATTTATTTACATATTATTCACATTTATACAAGGAAAATGGGAATGTAATATATAGTCTGAATGAATTTCTAATTGACACAGAATGCAAATTTTGAGATGAAAACGAAAAACAGTCATGTGAAGGAGAAATATCAAAATCTGAATGTTCTAATGCAATAAAAAGTATGAAAAACTCTACAAGTCCAGGCATAGATGGTCTCACACCCGCCTTTTATAAAATGTTTTGGTGCAAAGTGCAAAACCTTTTAGTAAATTCATTGAATTACAGTCTTATCTCAGGTCATTTATCAAATAGCCAAAGAAAATGTATAATAGTACTTCTTTTAAAAGGGAAGCAGTTACCAAGAAATAAAATTAGAAGCTATAGACCCATAACTTGTACTGATTACAAAAATAGGAGCAAGTGTGTTCGCAAGAAAAATTCAAGGGGTAATCTTTAAACTTGTACATACAGATCAAAATGCTTACATAGAAAATAGAGGATAACATTTTAACCTTAAATTAATTGATGATATTATTCAGTATACAGATATATAGGATATTTCGGGAGCTATAATAGCATTAGATTACTCGCGGGCGTTTGATTCCGTATCCAAGGAGTTCATCAAGGATGTGTTTGAAAAAAATAACTTGGCGCTGATATGAAAAAATGGATACATCTAATAATGGTTATTTTACAGAATGGTTTAATCTTAAATCTGGACTTCGGCAAGGCAGTCCGTTGAGTGCGATAATTGTCATTATTGCGACAGAAATGTTCGCTTGCAAAGTGCGTCAGTCACATAATGTTCAAGGGATGAAATTGCAGAATAATAAAGAAATAAAGTTAAAGGTGCAACAATTAGTGCAGAGGGGCCATTCAACGATCATGGACCAGTGTCAAAATATATTTAAGTTTGGATATTTCATCAAGACTAACATCTATTTTTATTATCCACAAAAAACCCACTAGATAAACATTATTTCAGCATATATTCCTCTTAAAACATGGTGGATCTTAAAAATATAAAAGCGGATTTCCCCTTTTTGAAGCTTTGAACTGAATTTACACTTCTTAATGCTGAAATTGATAGTTTATACATACATTTTAAGAAAATAGGTCTGTCAAAGAAGATGTTAAGCCAAATGTTGCCTTGATAGCTCATAAAAAGTTAAAATGTTCCTATTTTCTCTCTACAGGCCTTGTTGCCCCTTTAACTGTCTATGCTGATGATACAACAGTATTTGATATCTCAGTAATAGTAATGAACACATGTATAATAATATTGTAATAGCAACAGCAAAATTAAAAGACTTTGAAAGCATAATTATTCAAAATGAAAAAGTCCAAATATTCCTGGAAAATGAAGAAATGAATGCCAGGTAGACATGAAATTGGCTTATAAAACAGTTGAAAGTTTAAAAGGGCCAGGCTAAGGTCACTTTTTATAAGATACTCTATAAAATACATCCAACAAACGAATTACTTTATAAAATGAAAAAGAAACAATCAAACAACTTTTTTGTGGATTGTACATATATAAAGCAAGTTTGGGTGATGGTGGAAACATACTGTCTTAAAAAATTAAACAAAAAAAATTAACCTTAGTACATCAGAAAAGATGTTAGGTACTAGAGACCAAGAAGTAAATGTTGTAATAAGTATTGCACACAATGTAATTAGTAAATTTAAGAAGAGGAACCATCCAAATTTAGAATTTTTATTTAATTATGAACTGATGATGAGGAAAATGAAAAATTATTTTTGCTTTTGCTAATTCTGGTTATGTTATTTGTAATTGGTATTATATGGAAATAAAAAAGACAATTTTCGAAACCATATTTTTACATGTAGATTTGAAATATCACATCTAGTCTATTGGCATCTCCAAGAAATTAAGGTGAACAAAAATACACGTTGACCAGTTAACAAAATATTTCTTATCTAAAGGATACTTCCGGAATCCGCCCGATGGCTAACTGTGAACAGGAAGTACAAGAAAGCTCTCCGTGTCCTCCAGCGAATGGCTAAGTGCAACGGTCGCCCCATTGAGGACGAGGTGGTTAAACAATATGAGGCTGCTATCGCTAGAAAGACAACTGAGAAAGAAAAGGATTTGGAAACGCATGGCTCCATGACAATAAAGGAGAAATTTTGCGGAGGAAGGAAGCATAACAAAATGAAGACTTTTACAGTTGTTGACATATTCCGCCATAGCGAAATTCGCCTAGACGCTTTCATCATATGCTGTTTATGGTTTGTACTTTGGTCCTTTCTTGATTTGGCTGCATGTGCAAAACTGTCAGTACCACCATTAACACCGAAGCAAACTACTTCTTCAAAAAGTTTCAAATGACCCAACACTCTACTTCTGCAAAAAGTGTCCAATGACCAAACCCCCTTTCTTCCCCAAAGTATCACATGACCTGATCTCCATTCTCTTCCACAATGTGTCAAATGACTCTATCGTTCCTCTTCCACAATTTGTCAAATGACCCTATCGTTTCTCTTCCACAATGTGTCAAATGACCTAGTCCCCTACTGCTGCTAAACGTGTCCAATGACTCAACCCCCGTTCCGTTTCCGTAATATGCTAAATGACTCAACATTTCCTCTTCCACAATGTGTCAGATGACTCAACATTTCCTCTTCCACAATGTGTCAAATGACCCTATTGTTCCTCTTCCGCAATGTGGCAAATGACCTAACCGTTCCTATTCCACCATGTTCCAAATGACCCAACACTCTACCTTCAGCAAAAAGTGCCCAATGACCCAGCCCCATTTCTTTTCCCCAAAGTGCCAAATGACTTGATCTCCTTTCTCTTCACCCATCTCTCTGTCCGTCCGACAAAACAGCTAGACCTGTAGACTGATAGAGATATCTATTAACGTTATCATATTTTCAAAAATAATGTATCTTGCGTGTTTCTATAACATAAAACAACCGGTTTATAATTTCAGGTTCGTCAATAGCCTTGTGTATTTTGGTCTCTCATTGAGTGCAGGTTCTTTAGCAGGGGACCGATTCCTCAACTTTCTCTCGCTTGGAGTTGTGGAGACCCCTGCGTTTATTTCCTGTATATATTTCTACCAAAAGTAAGTAAAAATTCCTCTCAAATGATTTATGTAATTTACTTCAATACGACGCTGACTGGAATGAAACTTGGATGTGAATGGTCAAACGCTCAAACATGATAGTTTATAGGATTTATGTAATGTATGTATGCATGTATATATTCATTGCCCTTTAAATAAAGGAGATATATTCATGCAATTATGTATAACAATCAAATAAACAGGCACAAAACAAATTCTAATCCATATAAATTGTCAACGTCAGGCTACCGCGTTGACGTTTGTACAAAATATATCAGATTAAAACAGTTGTACATGAATGCGAAGAATAAAACATCCCCAAAGTTGATATATTCAGAGTAATTACTTAAATTATCCAGTGATATTTAAAATGTTATAAAGTGTACCTTCCCCAAGGTTGGTACATCCAGGTATGATCATTTACGTATAACATGCACATATAATAATATGAGCATGAGCATGAAGTCAATAAAAAGTACCTTCAAATGACAATAATATATGATAATGTCGTTGATTTTAGGGTATGGGGGTATTGCTATATTAGTCTGGGAGCAAAAGTCCAAATAAGAGGTTCCGTGTCCTTTTTAGTGGCGAGCTTAAGCGGCATACATTTTTATGAACTATACGTGATACTTACCAAGAAAAATGATGTTGGCAATTCTGGATCCGCGACGGCGTTGCTATGGTAACCAAGTGAATAAGCCTTCTCCTTCATTATTGCTCAGATTTCGATGAAATTCACACCAAATGGAAGGTAATAGATAATGTAATCAAAATATATTAAGTTGGCAATTCTGAATCTGCGGCAGCGTCACTATGGTAACAAAGTAAATATGCAACACCCACTTTAAGGGGCTCTTTTCAGTGTTTGGCCCATATCTTCGTCATTATTGCTCAGCTTTAGATGCAATTTGCACCAAATGAAAGGTAATAGATAAAGCAATCATCTATTTTATAAAATATGCAATTAGGGTGACTTGCATCTTAATTATGACGTCTTAACTGTCTTAATCATGATGTATAACTCTGTGAAATAACTGTCATTAAAATGGTCAGTAATGCTTTCAACTAGTTTATTTCTTTTAGTTGAGTTTATAAGTTTATTTCATTCATACATTTATGGTCATAGAAAAATTGAATAAATGTAATGAAAGATGTCTAATTAAAATAAAAAATGTTCAATTTACACTGTTGCTATGGTAACATCATGTAGCAAAACTGTCCGCTGTAAACAAGAATTCTTTAGGAAATGTTACATTTTGACCAGTTGACTGACATGTATTCTTTTTAAAATTTGATGACAACTATAGAATTTTTTTTAATTTGGATTGCGTTATAGTATTATGTCATAAGGGCAATTACTAATCAGGGATGCAGCCAGCTTTCAGTCGGGGGGGGGGAGCGAATGGGGCATAAGCAGCCCAAAAATGTTTTTAAGATGAATTTTACAAAAATTGATGCAACGTCCTTCAAAATTGAGCTAGAAGCTTCAAGTCAAAGGCATTTTAACCCAATAATGACAACATGATGAATGCATTAGTATTTTTTAAATAATGTTTATGTTTTTCTAACGGGACATAGACACAAAATTAAGTGCCCATGATAACATTTTGGGTTAAGGGGTTATGATTTCGGAATTGTAAAACCTATTTATAATATCATAACTTTAACAAACATGTAATTTTACACTGTCATTAACTTAAACTTAGTCTGTTTGTTATAATTCAATACTAAATAGGCCCCAGTGACATTCAAAGGCACGGCAGTGGCCCCATATTATCCGAAAAAGCATCCCAGTGCCCCAATGTGGCCCCAAAAAGCAGTCTGGTGGCCACTGTGGCCCCTCTAAGCATACATGCGGCTCCTATGACTCCCAAAATCATCCTAGTGGCCCCCAGATGCCCCAAAAAGCATCCCAATAGCCCCCAGATGCACCCCCCAAAAGCATCATAGTGGCCCCATGTCGTCCTCAAAAGCATCCTAGTCGTCCCCAGTGGCCCCCAAAAACAAATTAGTGCTGCTATGAGGCCCTCAAAAGTATCCTAGTACCCCTCTGTGACCCATGACATCAACCCTGCATTTCTGAATCTGTAGTGGAACTAACACTGAGCTTTCATAATTTCTACTATATCATACAACTACATAAAACGTGCATATCCTTAAAGTCGGCATTAAAATATATTGTACTTAAGAATAATATACCTTCTCCGAGGTTGGTATATTCAGAGAACTACTTTAAAATCGAGTAAATTAAATCAGCTTTATAAAGGGTACCTTCCCCAGGGTTGGTACTACCATTTAGAACTAGAAAAATTGTTACACATTACACTTTACACTACACTACATCCGGAATAGTTAGATATTAATTATATTTTTAGTGATAGAGGAATGCCCCCTTGGTCGGCCCATGTACCTCCATCCACCCCTGAATGAGGTTACATTAAGTGTGTAAGGTTGTTAGATATCGCTGGGGGCACGTATATTGTTGCATGACTATACATGCAATATCTTTTAGAAACGCAAGTGTTTGTTCGTTCGTAAAATGCCATTCTTCAGTATTTATGCCAAGAAGGCTTTTAACATTCATTTGGATATCCTATTTGAAACTATGATTACTTAGTTGCTCTCTGAATATGGCATATTCATTTGCAGGGCATTTTAGTAAGAAATGATCCACATATTCTTTTTCGAAGGTGTCGCACAATAAACACGACCATTATTTTGCATCCATTAAAAGCAACAGGAAGACGTCTTGCAACATTCCACCATATAACTGGCCTCAGTACCTCAAAGTTACTCATTCTAAAATAGCCTAAACCCTTGTACATGATCGATTCAAAGAATGTCACTTGCATTTGAACCGTTGTTATTTGAGTGAACACAATGTTCTTCCACCTGCTTTTGGGGAATAATAGTGTTACAGTCTTGCATATTTAAAACATGGTTATTCAAGTTGTACTTTCACAAGACAAAATCGTGTTGAATAACTTGCGATACCAATGTTACACCCATCTTACTCGGTGCTTAGTAGTCGCAATCCTTGATTATTGATACACTTATCTGGAAGGTTATTTGAGCTTACCCTTTGGTATTGATACACTTATCTGTGGTTTTAAGGCTCGAATACTGAAGTTTATTTTTTTAATTATCGAGTCTTATTCTATTGCATTAATATGTAGTTGACTTTGTACTTACAGGCGTGATATGATAGGTCTATTACATAAATGTATATACAAATATCGTGATGATTAATAAATCTAGATGAAGACTAATCATTAAAATAAACTTAGACTACATTTAATATTTAAAGAAAAATAATTTGATAAATAAAGTATGCATGTATAAGTCTCTTAGTAAAAAAATTAAGGGAAACTGGTTTCATGATTTAACAGAGAACAACAAGGTACCGTGTTGTTGTTTATGATCCCGGGTTTACAATATTTATTGAGTTTGTAGATTAAATCTTCTTATTTAAGACAACATCGTCTTTATGATCTATTCAAGACATCAGTATTCTCAGAAATTGATTATCCGAAGCGGATACCAAGTTCTGACCTGCAGACGAACAATTGCAGACATGGTATAAGTTTGTTTATTTAACAGTTAGATTTGTTGACTTACTGAACTGTATTGCAATATCTAGGAATATGTTATATTTATTTATCCTATACTTTGTATTTGCTTGCAATGTAATAAAGTTGATACTTTTATGGACAAAAATGTCCTTTTAATGGCCATTTTGTATGCCTTTTATTTCCACACCATGTTTTGATTTTGCCTTGATGCTATTGTGTCATAGTGTTTTTGCTTTAAAAAGTCAAGAAATATCAACTTTTTAATTAAGAAATGTTGGTTAATCTCTTGTTGTAAATCACATTGTTGATGATGTTAACGGACCATGAGATAACATATTGTCCGGGGAAAGATATCAATAATATAAAATGCGATGCATAACCAATAAAATAGAACCATGAAATAGAAGAAGAGAAAGAAGCTTGTAGCTCAATTTTGAAGGAAGTTGCATCTTTTGGCCTGCTTTTGCCAAGATTGCACCCCTCTCCCGACTGAAAACCGAGATTGTTTTTCTTGGCGATCGTACTCCCCCCTGACTGAA